ACAATGAGATTTTTCTAGGAACACTGTCTCTGTTTTCTTTTTACTCACCTGCTGCAACTGCATTGCTGGTGGTTTAAAAAAAGGAGCAAACAAGGTTGGTGAGATGAGGCTACATTGATTTTGTCTGTTCTGTACCACCATGGATTTTTCTTTGATTTTTTCCCCCCTAAACATTATCACTGATACCAATGATAGCCTTGTGATCTCAGACAGAGATTGCACTGTCTGAAAAATCAGCATTTTTCAGAGTTCAGTGTGTTGAACTGACTGAAAAAAACAGTCAATGCGCAGCCAACCCAGTCATCTTGGATCTATTGTCTATTGTTCTACTGTCAAACAAATTTGGCAAGTTGGGGATAAGCAAGTAAGTTACCCTAATTATGAAATCATCCTGAGTGATTATAAAACACAGAACAACTTTAGTCAAGCTGATGTCATTCTGATGTGTTGGATCTACAAGAATTCTTCAGTGAGTATGCCTATTGTTTTCCCAACACATATTGCTGCTATCATTAATTAATTTCAAGAATAAACTCAATATTCAAGAGACCAATGAAAATGCATAGCTTTAATGAATAACAGATATCAAATTATTTATTGAGATGATTAGATTTAAATATACAGTTTGTCCTTTTTATTTACAGAGACTAAATAGAACAATATTTTCTATTCCACATTCCAGAAACTCTTCACCTTCATTGCATCAAATGATAGTTCTTTTGTGAAAAGCTGCTTTATTTAATAGCACAGTTCGGTATGCACTGAAGCTGTTGAATGCTGCCAGTTTGAATTCCATTTACATATATCAGAAAGAATAGTTGTTATGCAGAGATGGCAGATTTGAGAGAATTTAAATCAGTGGATAATGGTCAATTATTACCAATAACTGCTCCAGCTAAGCAGAATGATACATTTTACAAAACCTGAAAATATTCATCCTTTGAAAACCTTTCATTGCCATAATATATATATTTTTCTGTTACAGCAGAATCCACACAAGGAATTCAATATTATTTGCCTTAAATAGGTGTTGGTGAACCTTATTGTATCATAAAAAAATTGACATTCTATCTTAATTATCTTGGGAAGTATTACATGTTTACGATTCTACACTTGAAGTGAACAAGTGGGCTGATCCTCTGCTTCTGAAACCAACATAAATCATATCAATGCAGTCCTCCACTAAAAACTAAATCTTCACTCTATTCAGTTTGCTCCTCTCAACTAAATATGCACTGGTCTCACAACTTTTATTTCAGGAGTGTCCATGGTGGTGGTAATCAAAAAAGACAGTAAGGCAGCCTGATCACACAGTTGAAGTCCATCCATTATTGTTATTGGGATTGTGTCATCAATTGGAAATGGGAACATGTGTGTGTGTGTACAGTTGGTTTATCATATTGTTTCATCTAAATCATAACCAATCCAACATCTGAATAAAACCAGTTTAGATTAGTCATTTATATAATGAAGTGCCATGCATTTTAATAATAGAATCCCAAAATGTAGGCTCACGTGTTAACTGCATAAATGACATTTGAAATTTAATTTCACATTCACCGAAACTACCTATTCAACACCATGACTACTAGACAATACTAACATCTACATCAGGACAAAACAAGGTAAAACAAGAGATCTCGTCTCACTGTGGTGAAAGTATAAAAAATCAGTATGGATATCTATCTCCCTTGGCCCAGCAAATAGAAATATTTTTAGTGCAATCCTGAGCAAAGGGAAATTATGAAAAGAAAGAAAGAATTCCTGTCCCATCAATATATAAATTTGACATTTTCTGGCTGTGCAGCAAAGGATGACAACAACAACTCCGTGGTCTAGAATTAGTTTTGTTTGCTACTGCTCTTAAAGTTTAATTCAGGTAAATAATATAAAGCAACAATGAGTATCATTGAAAATCAGCCAGTAATTCCAGAAACAACTAGCAATATATATCAAGGAGTGTATTAAAGTAAATAGTTACTCACTTATTTTCATTTGTAGGATCATATCTGGGAAATGGATCGTGATCATTGTCATTGAAATCATAACTTGCATCAGGATCCTAAATGTTAATCAAGAAAATAGCTGTAACAGCTGTAAACAATTGCTAAAGCAACAGAGGTAGGAATATAAGAAGAATCATAGCAAACCAGAACGAAAACCTATCTAGTCTCTCTTTCTGTTTCTTCAGTGGTCAACACAATGTCTATCTGGGATGCCAACAATTGCACATAATTGTAGTATAACACCCTTCTTTCCTCATAAACATATTAATAAAGTGTTCTCCTTTTTAAAAAAAAAATCAATAATAGCTCATGTTTTTTTGAGTTATTTGTCATATTTGCATTTGTCTACCCAATCATCATGCAACAAGTGATTTTTAACTCTTTTGAATTCTCTCCAGAGTCTACAGATTAAGTTGACAAACGATTGGGTGAAGACACCCAATCACGTACAGTATATTATTGAATAGGAATATTTTTAAACTCCAAGAATCTCGTCATGAAATTGGAAATGAAAACATAATGATTGCTACTAAAATATTAAACTCACATAGTTAAAGTAAATGTCTGTGTGATTCCACTCCAAGCCATCATCAAGCACTGTTATGACAACCCCTTTGCCTGTGATGCCCTTTTGCCACACTGGAAGGACATGGAGATCCAATTTGCGCAAAGATCGGTTGATTCTTGTATCTTGCTAGGAGAAACAAAAGACAATTTATTTATGCATTGTGCAAATGTTACTAACTTGTTTTGCCTATAACACATTGTAAAAATTACTTTTCTTATATATGCTGCACTCAAGTCTCTTTGTATGAATGAATGAATGAATGAATGAATGAATGAATGAATGGATGGATGGATGAACGAACGAACGAACTAACGAACAAATGATAGCACACTTGTTCCTGCATAGCTTTTGATTATTTAATATTACATCACAAATAGCTACTTTTAAATATTGCTTGTAAAGATACACTACTTCGCTTCGCTTCACTTCGCTTCACTTCACTTCACTTCACTTCACTTTACTTTACTTTACTTCACTTCACTTCATTAAATTCATTTGCCATTGCTTATTTAGTTAGCATTGCTAAAAAAACCAGCCTCTCCTTTACTGAAATTTTGTGTCATGAATTGCATGGCACATTGAAAAAATATGGTTCATAAAATATATTAAATTATAGTTGATTTGGTTTTGATTTGAGTTCAGTGTAAAAATTTATACAATTGCTTCATGATGCAAATAGTAGTTCTGTACATACTAGCCTTGCCCAACTTCTTTTGTCTAGTATGGAAGATGATAGAAATGAAATCTTAAATCAAGAGAGCACAAGATTGGAGAGAGCATCTATATTTTATTGTCAATTTCAATCTCTTAGAATCATCTTCTTTTAAAATTATTGATTTGTTAGTAAGAAGGGGCTGAGTCACATTGTTGCTGACTGATTAAAAAATGGCATCACTTCATCATGGCCTTCCTTTCTTTTCATTTGAGGTACTTATCTTCCCCATTAAATTTTATAAAGCTTGTGCTCTTTTTCACAAGTGCTACTTATATCAAACTGTAATATGTTATATTTGGGCAAATGCCATAAGAGAATTGTTCCACTAGAGAATAGTTTTGTGACTGTACAGTTTTCATCTCAAAATCATAAAATATGCTGCAGATGATTGTATATATCATAGTTTATAACCTAAAAGCAAACTTCTATTATCATACTTTGAGTAATCTCCCAAATGGTTTAGTACACTAATGAAGCAATACTAAACATATATGTTCTACATGAAGATTCAAACTCTTACCAGATACCATTGCTGGCTCCACATTGGGTCATTAAATAGATTTTCTGCTGAGTCTCCTAATTCAGAACGCTTAGTTCGCTTTTTTTCATACTGTTGTTCTGCCCAAGTCACCTAAAATAGCATGAGATAGATGAAGAAATGCTGAGATAAGAAAATACTGGCGGTTCTTGTGTCTATAAATGCACATCAAAGTCTTGTTTATTCCATGTATAACCCAGAGATTTTCTAAGTAGTCAGAACATTATTTCTAGAATTACAGTCTTTCTGTAAAACAGCATGTGCTAATTTAACATTGTTACAGCTAAGAATAGCTTAAGACTGTCTCATGTTTTGGCTATAGATGAGATGAAGATAATATTATGGAAGAATAAAGATGTAGATAAATGCTCTATCTAATCACCATATGGAGCAGGGCCATTAATGTTACTAAAGGGTAAGCTTAAATTTTAAGACCTTTTGAAGGGAGGCTAAGGGACAAAATAGCCACTTCTTAGAATCCCTCCCTCCCTCAGTGGAAAAATGTGAGTCTCAAAATTTTATGCCCATTCATGTAATGATGGAAAGATGTGGTCCATGAGCCATAGGTTGCCCAACCCTATGCTATGGGATGGGTATACATACCTTTGTTCTATTTTTTGTCTTCATGTGAATGCACATTTAACTATGAGGGATGATTCCAAAACCACAACATTATGGAGAGAAGCTGCCTAGATAGCAGATTTTTGATACCATGAAAAAGTAACAAATATTTAATGATTACTGCATTTATCAAATATTATTGGGTGTTCTTTGCCAGGGAGAGAAATGTTGGTTGAGGAAATGTATTTCTCATTCTTTTTTAAAAAAAATTGATTAACCCCCCTCAACCATAGATATTCTGTGTTCCATAATTTTGAGGAATCAATCTCCTTCATTCTCTTTCAATCTGGGGGGTAACAAAAATGTCTTATCTCTGAGTGTTTAACCAATTGCTGAAGTTTGCAGAACATATCTTCTGTATACTTAGGAGCGTGTCATGAAATTTACCTAGGCAGTTGAACATTGTTTGGTTTTTCTCACTGTGAGCATCTGTTTGGCCTCTGCTCTATCAGTGAGAGAACAACTGAAGTTAGAAAACATATACAGTACTAGAAGCAGAGTTGTTCTTTGCAGTTGGTATGTTTTCAGCATGACACTGTAACTGCATGTGATTGCAAATAAGTCACATTCAGTGAGTTCTTGCTGTGAGGTCATCACCAATAATAGAATAAGTCTATGTGAGAAAGATATTACAGTCTGAATAATGGAGCGTGTCTGTATGCTATTTCCTCAATTTTTTAAAATTATACTGCTAATTTATAAAACCAAATTCCAGTTTTATAATCCAGCCCTTGATCTTGAATTTTAAAAGGATAATAAAAACCACTGAAGCCTGACAAGAAGGCAGTATCTTTGATCCAACAGTAATGATCCATAATCCAAGAATCAAAATGAATGATACTGGCTTGTTTTTAATCTGCCTTGATTTTATTATAGTATGTAGAATTTATTTATTAGATTTTTTATTATAGTATGAGAAAGTATGTATTATGTATGTATGCATGTATGCATGTATGAATGTATGTATGTATGTACAATATGGGATTACCCATTGTCAAGAATGTTGTCATGGGAAGTAAAGACCCCACTGCTTTTTGTAATAACATTGTTTGGAATGCAAATTTGGTGTTTATAATGTGGACCAGAAATCTAATCTGGACTCTTTGCCTCTCTCCCATGGCTTTTGTTGTCCAGGATGAAGGATAAGATAGTACCTCTTCAGTCCATGTACAGATAATGATCATATTGTTCATCAGATCATATTTCCTAAGGGCAGGAACTGGCTTAAGGATACAGTGTAATTCTGACTATCCAGCAATATCCTCTAAATCCTAGCAATTACTTTTTCCTCACCTGCCCTGCAGTTTTTGACATGCAAAGCAACTGCTACCTCACTCTGCCTCTTTCTAAGATCAGTCTTAACACTTCATTCTTGGAAAGATCTTCTCATTCAGGCCTTTGGCTGTTGCTGCTGTGATGGTAGGAATCAAAACTCGCTCACTATTCTGCTTGAAATGTTGCTAAGGCAGCATTTGAAGTTTTAGCAAGGCCAAATAAGATACATTCCCCAGCACAACTGTTGCCTGAAAATTGAAACCCTAGTTTTAAATCCTAGAAAAGGATAATTAAAGATGAAGATGACAGATAAAAGTTTTTTTTTACAAAAAGAGTTGAAATACGAAAGCACAAAGCCATATCTCTAATTGCATTAAAGGAGCAGTGGGAGAACAAGAATAATTGCATTAGCTAAGCTATTTTCATGGGCACATAACATGGCTTCAAGTGGCTTGGCTTGGGCACATGATTATTTTTCTAGAGTAGGAATGTCATTCACGTGATGTTCCCAATTATGAATTAAATGCAGCAGAATCATCAACAAATTTCAACGATAGTAAGGAATTTAAACGCCAATGATGATCCTAGACACCTCATGCAGTACAAAAATGTTTCACATGATTGGAAATGTGTTTTCTACAAAAGAAATGATGCAACTCATTAGGAACCCAGTGGTTAGAGAAACAGCAAAGAAAATTTAGGATAAGAAGAATAAGACATAATGCATCTTAATGATTTCACTGGCATATCTACAGTACATATCAATAGTAGCTTGACATTTTTGATTAGTGCCCATTTTGCATAGTTTTCCAGCCCAGTTGAAGCAGAAATTACTGTGGCAAATTCTCAGATTCTGAAGTAATTATTTCCATAAGAACATGGTGTTTAGTAGTCAAGAGTCAAGCTTGACTTAATAATAATAATAATAATAATAATAATAATAATAATAATAATAATAATAATAATAACAACAGTAATAATAATAGTAATAATAATAATAGTAATAAAGTTGGAAGGGACATTGGAGGTCATCTAGTCCAACCCCCTGCTCAGGCAGAAAACCCTATATCATTTCAGACAAATGGCTGTCCAGTCTCTTCTTAAAAACTTCCAGTGTTGGAGCATTCACCGCTTCTGGAGGCAGGTTGTTCCACTGGTTAATTGTTCTAACTGTCAGGAAGTTTCTCATTAGTTCTAGGTTGCTTCTCTCCTTGCTTAGTTTCCATCCATTGCTTCTTGTCCTGCCTTTAGGCCCTTTGGAGAATAGCTTGATTCCCTCTTCTTTGTGACAGCCCCTGAGATATTGGAACACTGCTATCATGTCCCTCCTTGTCCTTTTCTTCATTAAACTAGACATACCCAATTCCAGCAACCATTTCTTATACGTTTTAGCCTCCAGTCCCCTAATCATCTTTGTTGCTCTTCTCTGTACTCTTTCTAGAGTCTCAATATGTTTTTTACATCATGGTAACCAAAACTGAAGTGTGGCCTTACCAAGGCATTGTAAAGTGGTATTAACACTTCACGTGATCTTGATTCTATCCCTCTGTAAATGCAACCTAACACTGTGTTGGCTTTTTTGGCAGCTGCAGCACACTGCTGGCTCATATTTAAGTGATTGTCCACTACGACTCTGAGATCCCTCTCACAGTTACTACTATTGAGCAAGGTACCACCTATACTATACCTGTACATTTGGTTTTTCTTGCCTAAATGTAGAACCTTACTTTTTTCACCATTGAATTTCATTTTGTTACATAGCGCCCAGAATTCAACTCTGTCAAGATCCTTCTGTATCTTAAGCCTATCCTCTGGAGTGTTGGCTATTCCTGCCAGCTTGATTTTGTCCGCAAATTTGATGAGTTCCCCATCTATCCCCTCATCCAAATCGTTGATGAAGATGTTGAAGAGCACTGGGCCTAGAACAGAGCCCTGGGGCACCCCAATACATACTTCCCTCCATGTAGATGCAGTTCCATTGAGGACCACATGCTGAGTATGGCCGGTCAGCCAGCTACGAATCCATCTGGTGGTGATGCTGTCTAACCCACATTTTTCTATCTTATCAAGTAGTAGGTTGTGATCTACTTTATCAAATGCCTTACTGAAGTCCAAGTAAATTATATTTACAGCATTAGTCCACTAATTTTGTCACTTGGTCAAAGAATGCAATAAGATTTGTCTGGCATGATCTGTTTTTGACAAACCCATGTTGGCTTTTAGTAATGACTTTGTTTGGCTCTAGGTGTTTGCTGATTCGTTGTTTGATTATCTTTTCCAGAATCTTCCCAGGTATTGAGGTCAGGCTGATAGGTCTGTAATTTCCTGGATCCATTTTTTTTCCTTTTTTGAAGATGGGAACTACATCAGCTCTTTTCCAGTCCTCTGGTAGTTCCCCAGTGCTCCAGGATCTTTGAAAGATATAGTTCAGTGGTTCTGAGATCACATCTGCCAGTTCCTTCAGAACCTTGAGGTGTAATCCATCTGGTCTTGGTGAAGGCTTTACATTTAAAGAAGGCTTTATACTTAGAAAAGATGGTCCTAGTTTAGTTACCCTTTGCTTTTGAATTCAGCACTGTGAAATTAATTTCCTGAGATTTTGGAGACCATTTGAGTGAATAGAGATGGCAATATCCCATAGAGCAAGAGACCACAGTAGGCATTCAATAACATTGTCTTCTAACTCACTGTAATGCAAATGGCCCCTACTCCAGATGTGTGAAAAACCTATAAACCAGGTTTTATGGGTTCTTTTTTGAAGGTATTTATTCTGAAACATGTATTTTCAATTGACATGTTTTTCCAGTTATTTACTGCATATCATTTTGTTGCACCTACTATTAGAAATAAACTGACTTTTAGACAGTCAGACAGTTAGAATGCAGCATGAAACTATTAAGAAGACACATTTTTAACTCCTTCTTAATCTTTAATTGAGCTGTTTCGAAGTTTGCAGAAGAGAAGAGAAGAGAAGAGAAGAGAAGAGAAGAGAAGAGAAGAGAAGAGAAGAGAAGAGAAGAGAAGAGAAGAGAAGAGAAGTGAAGTGTTGGAAGGGATCTTCTAGTCCAATCCCCTGCTCAGGCAGGAAACTCTATACCATTTTGGACAAATGCTTCTCCAATCTCTTCTTAAAAAACAATATCAGTATCAATATCAATTATCAATAGCAACTTTGAAAATAGGGGTTGTTGTTCAGCTGTGAAGCATTTGTGAAAAGTTTGCAAACTTCCTAATTCCTAAATTATAAGGATTTCAGTAGCAAACAGAAGACACATTTTTGAAGTCACTTTCCAGAGATATTCACATAAATGACTCAGAGAGAAATACGAACAAATTCATAAATGAAGAAATACTTTATACTTGATTGTGCCTTTTGGAATTTCATTTCATTGCAGTCAAGGGTTACAATTTCTTTGTTTTAAGATGTCATTTTTCAAATATAATTTCTCAATGTGGTCTAGATTAAGATTTGATCAATCTCAGAGTCAAAACAGGAACCATATACACATATTTTAAGATCTTTGGAGAAAAAACATGAATTATAAATATTATAATAATTGCCAGAATTCATTCAACTATTGAAGGATTATATCACATCATTTCCCAATGAACGGAACTGATGACTTAATAGCAAACTGGCAGGCAATCTCACATGTAGTTTATTCAGAGGTGAAAGCTTCGATATTGAGAAAGGTTTACTCACTTAGAAGGGGGTTTAGAATGGCTGTCTAAGAGAAACTATAAAGCATACATTTACTACTTACACGATCATCATCTGTGAGTTGCCTAGTGATATGAGAAGCACTTCGTCGAGATCTTCTAGGGTGATTCTTATGTCTAAGTAGATAATGATCTTCTAGTAACCCAATCTGTAAAGAACAGAACAATTTTAAGACATTTATCCCATAATGCACAACAGCAAGAAACAATGAAAACTGCCCAGAAATCCGTTTAGTTTAAGAGTTGAAACCATGGAGCAATACCTAAATGCCTAATAAAACGTCTTTTAAAAACAAAGGATCAGAAAGCAGAATTATGTTCCACTAGTAGTTTTAAATCTTGTATATGTTTGTGTAGAAATGAAAGTGCATTGCTTTTAGTTAATGCACCAAATAGGAACATGTGATTAAATTTATTTTAAGAATAAATAGAAACAAATAGGACATGTTCATCTACAGGAGTTTGATGCTATCCTCAGACTGACAAAAGTAGCATCAGGGTATTGTATTATATTGTAAGCTCCTTCCCTTTCATTAATTGTGCCATGTCAGAATGCATGCACAAAAGAGGTAGGGCTTGCTTTTGTTATTTTGCTCCCTCCTCTTTCCCCCCTTCCTCATTGCCACTGAAATAGCTTCTAACTACATTATGTACAGAGGTGTAACTTCTGTGATTTATAGCACAGCATTCCTCTGACTTTCTCTTCTTCTTGAACAGAGTTTAAGTATTCTGTATGTAACTGTATGTAACTACATTTTCTCACTCCAAATTTCACAGAACAATCTTCATTTGGTTGTGGATGGGGTTGGCCCCATGGAGAACAAACTTGCATCTTGAAGGTCTACCTGGAACTGCAGGTAGAAGGAATAAATCCCACTGACTTCAAAAGAACTGATTTTGCTCCATTTCCCTCAATGTTTATGTCTACCATAAACATTGCAAAACTGGAGTGATATTGTTGCTACTACCTACTGCTGTTACTTTCTTAAAATTTCAATTATTATTTTTTGCAGGCTTCTATCTGAAAATTGTGTTTCAAAATTTTTGTTCCCACTATCATAAACTCTTTCCACTGGTAAAGGTATATTATTCTTAGATAACTTTACTGTTGTCAAATACAGAATCAGAGAATTACAAAGACAGAAGAATCCATACATGGTATTAAGTCCAATTTGCTACTAAGAACAGGAAATCAAATTATAACATCTCGAACAGATAGTTTTCTGGCCTCTGTTGAACATGTCCAATGAAGCAGAGCTAATCCTCACTCTTTATTTGTAGAAATTGGAATGGGTTTGTTCATGTAATACACTTTCTGGAAATTTAGGTCCATTATTCTGGATCTTAATAATAATAATAATAATAATAATAATAATAATAATAATAATAATAATAATAATAATAATAATAATAATAATAATAATAATAATAATAAAGTTGGAAGGGACCTTGGAGGTCATCGAGTCCAACCCCCTGCTAAGGCAGGAACCCTACACCATTTCAGACAAATGGCTATCCAGTCTCTTCTTAAAAACCTCCAGTGTTGGAGCATTCACCGCTTCTGGAGGCAGGTTCCATTGGTTAATTGTTCTAACTGTCAGGAAGTTTCTCCTTAGTTCTAAGTTGCTTCTCGTACCCAGGGACAATAGAAAACAAATTTTGACCTTTTTGTGTGGGACATTTGTTTAGGTATTTTAGAATACAGTCATATTCCATCCTCTTAGCCTATTCTTAATATTAAACATATTAATTTCTCTCAATCTAACTTCACAACACTTACTTTTCTTGTCCCATTATTTGTCTCACTGCACTTCTCTGAACCTGCTCCAGTTCTCTAAATCTTTCTTCAAGTGCAGTACCCAGATCTGACCAAAGAAGAGTAAAATTATTATTTTCCATGAGTTGGAAACCATGTTTCTATTAATTCACTCTAAAACTATATTCCCCCCCTTTTTTCCTTTTGCAGCCATATCTGCCAATTTGAATAATATATTCACTTTTTAATTTACTGTAGAACATAGTAGAAATCCAGATTTGGTGTCTAGAATCTGGCAGGTTCTGGATGGGGAAAACCAGATTCAGACTCAACCCAAGCAAGACAGAATGACTTAATTTAGAAGTCTATTAATTCAGGGACATTACCAAATTTGGCTGTGAATGGGGTCAGCCCCATGGAGAACAAACTTGCATCTTGGAAGTCTTCCTGGAACAGCAGGTAGAAGCCATGGTCATGAAGGCCTTTGCTCAACTGAACAGAAGGCACTGAAGAGGGCTATTCATGCACTTTCATTTGTCATTTGGATCACTCTAATCTACTTTGCTTGGAATTGCCCATAAAAAAAACCCTCATAAACTTCAACTAGATCAACAAATGCTGGTCTTTCTGTTTATGGGAGAGCTTCCTTATTGTATTTTCTACTGTTGTAATTCAAATTAACATTATCACCTATACAGCTAAGCACCTTGGTATACATGAAATTGAGATAAATTCCATATGACTGCTGAAGGTCCCCATCTATTGGGGGGGGAGCATTCTCTGGGTGGACTCTGCTCTTCTGAAAATTCTCCTTTCTTACTCCTTGCCCTAAGTGAGCATTCACTTCCATTCTTATGGCTTTCCCAAAGCTTGTTAAAACATGTCTATTTTAGAGACTGGTTAACTATGGCTCTTTGTGAAATGTTCTGTTATCTATCTTTGTCTGTCTCTGTCTTCTATCATCTATCTTTATCAATGTCTATTTATCTATGTACTATCATATATCTCTGTCCATCCAAACTTTGAGTCAGTCTTAATGGCTGGTGTCCACATGGGTGAGTTCATGATATTTTCTGGATAACTTTTTTTAGAAGTGCTTTGCCACTGTTCCCTTTTTCTTAGGGTTGAGAGAGTAACTGCCAAAAGTCAACCATTGTATCACATTTATGGCAGGACTAAAACTCAGAGTCTCCTGGCTTTTAGCTCAGTACTTTAACCTCTGCATCAAACTCGCTGTCAAAGTAATATTGAATAACAGAATAACAGAGAGTTGTAAGGGACTTTGGAGGTCTTTTAATCCAATCCACTGCTCAAGCAGGAAACCCTGTACCATTTCAGACAAATGGTTGCCCAATCTCTAATACTGAAATTTATAAAAAACAAGATACTATTCAAGCTTTTCTTCATATCTATTACCAAACTACAGCCTATCTCTGTGCATCTGATTTTGTTGCCTAAATTAGTAATTTTACACTAAATTCTATTAAAGTTCATTGTGCCATTTTCATTCAATTTCTCTAGCCTCCATTTCCATGGAGAGGGTTCTTCCAGTTCATCTTCTGCTCCTCTTCCTCTGCACCTGTGACCTATCAGCTGGTCTAGACACCTATTTAGAAATTTCCTGACTGGCAGATTAGAGGTTGTGAGCAGCTCTGCATCCCACCCCATCCCACTGAAATTTAAGGAGAGCAACTAGTAGCTGTTTTTCCTACCAGAAGGTAATGCTCAGTGGGATGGGAAACAAACTTGGGGGAATCCATCAATCTTACCTTTTTAAATTTATCTGCATCAAAACGACAAGAACAATAGTACTCACTGCTCTAATTTCCACCATCTCCAGGACTTGAGGATAACACATTACTGTATGTCTGTGCCCTTAGTTCTTGGTTGTGAATTTCTTGTACCCTGTAATAATCTCTTCTCCTCCTTTTCCTGAATTAGTGATTTTAGGAAGTTTTATTCTTTGTGATGTTGAAAGAATTAATACATGAACCCTGAATACAATGTGTTTAGTTCCTCTCATTCTCATCACCAGTTCACAATAACTAAACCTAAGATTAGTCAAAATGTATGGTAGAATTGTCCGTATTGCTATAATTAAATGGTCTGCTACTGATATTTCTCCCTATATATTTTCCCATGAAATGTCTTTGTATTAATTTTTCAAGCTTTAAATAAATAAAATGGCAAAAATGGTTGCATGTTCTGAAATCTTACTTTTAAGTCCTTAACTTTTCCAGAAGAAATTTACTTGTGGAATGTTGATCTAAAACTTGATATTACTTAAAAACGTTTCGATAAAGGAGTATGTTTTCTTTCTTCTCCTCTGTGTAAATATTTCTTTATACACTAATGAAGTTAGCTTGTTTGGTAATGAAATGTCTGCAAGTAAACAACCAAGCTCAGAGAGCACCAAGGACCTCACAGTTCAACCCTGAGCTGCAAATAAAATAGTATCTTCTGTCGGTTGTTTCCTTATACAATGCTTTGATACAGGAAGCTTTAAAACACATATTACTGATTGAGTGATTTTATCTTCAATTAAATAGCAATCTGGTTAGTCTACATTCTGTTCAATATCAATTGTTTTACTGGAATTTTAATTGGGATAGCAAATGTGAGCTTCTGGAGATGCAGAAGTTAGTTGATTCAGATATTATGAAAGCAAAATAGCTGCTAGTAAGAAAGAAATGCTTCTGTTTTTGTGGTAGTAGTGATATGTATATCTATGTACTATATATATTCCATGCTATAGCTATAAGTAATTCATCATCTGCATAAATCTGATGGGAGTTAGTAAATAGCCATGCTATACCACTTGCCCTGATAGCTCAAAGAAATATTCATCATTATTGAATTGGTTTTATTTCCTAATTAGTTTCTTCTCAGCTTAGTGTCACAATTAAGTATAATCTGGTTCCATAATGATGTGTGCCCTTCCTCTTCAAGCTTTTCCACAAAATTATACTAGATTTTATTTAAAATCAAATAAAAAATATTGAACAATAACAACAACAAATCACAAGAAAACTATTAAACAAATAAACACATTGGTTATGATCGTAGCAGGATCATGGATATGTATAGATATACACGCAGGACTATAAAGGCAGCTTGACACAAGTGACAAATTAGATTATATAGCATATAAGATATTTATATGTAAGGGGAATGAGATAACAGGTGACTTGATATGACTAAAATTGTATCAGAAATTTTATCAATAGAAAAATAAGCAGATTTTATAGATGTATATTTTATTTTTTTAAATAATATTCTTTTCTAATTTTTCATAATTCGCTTATGCTGGAATAAATGTACAAGTACTTGCAGATTTGTGGCATTACATAAATTAAAATGCACATTTAGAGAAAGGTGTATAAAATAAGTACTACATACTTTATCTTCCTGTTTTCAAGAAAGGGGGAGAGGGACAGGGAGAGGGAAAGAATGTGTGTTTGACTGCATAACATTTATTATAATGTATACAACGAACCAAGTTTTAGAGGTGAGGTCAGAATTCTAAATTTTAAATCAATTTTTTATTGTGACAAGTGCTGATCACAGATTCAAATTCAGTATTTTCTATTAAATAGTATTGTTGAGCTTATGAATAAATTAATTTGCTAAGGAAGAAATCTGATGATGGGAGTATGCATAGCTATAATGATTCACCAATAAGTAGATGTCTTAGGGAAGATTGCATAGTGGAATTAACTGCAATTGAGTAATTGCAACCTTTTTGTAGCAATTTATTATGCTGCATTATCTGAAAGATTAGATTTAACATGGGTGATTCCTTGGTGGAATCGATTGATAGGCTGACATATACTGGGGTTGGGATATCCATAGTTCTCCATGTATTGCTGAATTACAGCTTCCAGCTCTGGGCATGTTGGCTTGATCTCCCAGGAGCTCTGGAAACTAAGGTTCCCCATCTCTGGTATACAGATGAATATAGTCAGTAAATCTCTAATGTCTTTCATCTGAGTATTTTGTCTTTATCTTTTCTTCTGTTTGTCTGAGTTGTTGCTAATGCAATTTTGACAGCATCCTGTGCTATATAACACAGTGAGCTGGTTCATCTCAGGCAGCAGTGAATCAGATCTTGCACACTTTTATTTGCCAAATAGCCATTTATAAACTGGCGAGGAGTCATTCACCATATACTTAACTCTCTCTTTCTCTCTCTCACACACACACATCACATGTTATGCATATGCAGTACCCACACCATAAAGCTTGGCTAAACAAGCAAATCAAGATGATAAAAGAGGAAACAGATGTTAGAGAGAGTTTACAGAGCTACAAAAATTAAAGTACAGAGACTAGGGGTTACTAAATGTAGCTGTGCCCTTAGCCTCCTACATCTTGATCATTATGCTTTTTTTCAAGTAAAGGAAAAAATATTGTAACTTTTTTTTGCTAATTGATTACTACTTTTTGCACACTCTCAAATGTCTGTTGCTTGGGATCTGTAAGGATAGGGATAAATCCTTATCCTTAACCCAGAAATAGTCTCTTCTTTTGCTGCTAAAACTAAATCCACCCCATTTGCAAGAGCTCAGGAACCCTCAGCATTCAGAACTTCAGCAGTGGCATTTGGGAAGCTGAAAGGGTTAAGGCCAAGCCAAGTGGAGTTCCCAGAGGGCTTTCACCTAATTCCCCTGTTTTGCAATTTCCAGCGGTCTGCTGCTGATTTTGCTCCATTCAGCACATGGGCTTCTTTGCAGGAGTCATTGGCATAGGCAGCCCTGCTCAGCCTTGGCCCCAAACCATCGCTTGCCTCCACTGTCATGACTGGGGTGGGCTGTTTTTATTTTAGGGGTTACTCCAAGGATTACTGGTTGTGGCTGTTGTTTTAATCCTTGTACGCTGCTTGAAGTCCCAGTTACGCTGGCCAAATAAATATCTGTTCAAGGGGAAAATGCAGCAGTGGCAAAGTGGCAGACCACCAGGGGTGACAATTTCTAAAGAAGGAAGATGAGGCAGGACAGGAGTGGGAAAGAACTCTAGAAGTTTCCCATCAGGAGCGAGGAGTGACAACTTAGCTTCTTGTTGTTCGTTTCAACAACAACAACAACAACACCAACGAGGAAGAAGGCAGCCTTGAAGGCAGAGAATCTCTGGAAGAGATTGCAGAGAAAGGTGTGTGGAGCGCTCTTCCCAAATCAAAACAGGCAACGTTTTCTTACCAATCGCACCTCTGCCAGTCATAGGACCCATCATCCGTGTTTCTTATTTTCTTCACTTCGGGGCAAGAGGAAAGTTGCCCGACTTAGAAAAAAGAAAAGAAAAGGGAGGGGAGGGGTCGCGTCTTACCTGTCCCAGAAGTTCGTAGTCCAGTTCGTCTGCTATGAGCCGGGCTGCTTCTAGACCCCCCGGGATCTCGGCTGCCCATTCGTTGACGAACTGCCGCTCTGCCTTGGCCAGCAGGACCACACTCCAGGCGCAGAGGAGAGCCGCGATCGCGCCCTGCCCTGCCCGGCATCTCTTTCCCATGGCCCCGGGAGAGCGAAAGGGATACACCGGGAGGAGGAAATGAATTCCAGATACGAAACAGCCCGGAGAAGTCGGGAACTGTTGCTGGAGGAGGTGAGGAAAGTCCCTTCGGCTCTGGTTGCTACGCGATCTGGCACGGCAAAGGAAGGAGCGGGCAGTTGCTAAGAAAGTGCCTCGCCGCGGTCGCCTCCTTCGCTCTCTGCTGGTCTCATGCTGGAGCCCGGCTTGGAGCCGCCACGGCCAGAATGGGAAATGAGCGCTTACACGTCAAAAGGACGAAAGCGCTCCCTGACGTCAAATCTCCCGGCCTGGATTCTTGCTGGATGTTCCCGGGGGAGAGGAGGAGCCGGAGCCTTCGCCAACGCAGGCAGGGGGCTACGGGGCTGGGATCAAAATAATCTAGATAGTACGTACGCGCAGCCGAGAGGAGGAGGAAGGGCGAGGAGCTGTCCGCGGTCCCGGCGCCTCCCTTCCACTCTTGCCTTCGCCTTTCCCCTTCCAAGCCCGGCTCCCAAACCGCTCGCCCCGACAGCCGAGCCAAGCTCGCCCCGGCTGGGCAACGGCTCGAGAGGGAATCCGTGCTAGCCACTGGCTTCCCCAGCCGGCGTCATTCTCTTGCTCAGGCGGTGCAAAGCCTGCCATAAAGATCTTACGAGTTGGAAACGGCGGGGTTCTGGCCGCTGTTGGGTCGGGTAGAAGGAGGAGAGGGGGGGGAAACGGTCCCCAGATGTGGGAATCAACCGGGTGGGCGGCAGTGGGAGCGGGGTAAATTTCTAGAAGGCAACCAAAAGGGGTGGGCGCATGTGAGTAACATCTCTTGCTTAGGAGTGCGGGTGAGCTACCCAAGGGGGCTCCTGTTCCACTCTCCTGGTGTGTGTGTGAATGTAGGCGCTATATCCAGAGGTCTACCGCTCCCCCACCCCCCCACCCCCAGCCGGTTTTAGAAAGATGCGGTCATCGATCAATAAAGGGTGCTCCCGCTCCTACTGCTTTGGGTAGGGAGCCCTTTCCTGCAGAAGGCAAAAGCATGGAAATGTAGCCAAATTAGAATGTATGGCTGCTATCATTCCCTTTAATGGGATGAAATGGTGGGGAGGTGAAGAATCAGAGGCAGCACCTTGCACCTTGCAGCACATTGGTTGGTCAGGCAAGATTCCTTAGCTTGTTATTGCTTGGATTTGGTTTCTTGGTTTGCAAACACCTTGAATAGAATTTGTCTGAAAAGGCTGGCTTTGCACAGTGAAGTTAAATGTTTTCAAGTGGATTTATTCCGAATTAGTGGTATCCGTGGGGAGGGGTATGGGGGGGCGCAGAATGATGAGTCAGTGATTGTATGGATAAGTGCTCACCATTTTGATCTTTATTTAGTGATTACTGTTATATCTTCCAAGGAAATTCTAATAAAGTTTTGTTCTTGTATATCTACCGTATACATCTATCATTGCCTTTCTTTTCTTTTACTTCCCTTACCGTTGACAACCAAAGTCACTTTTTCTGGTCCATAATCCACTTGCATAAAAACTTTCTGCTTACTGATCATAACTCCAACTTTATTTGGATCAGGTCTGATTAGGTCTTCTAAGTCCATAACTCAATGGCATGTATCTTCTTTTTCTCACTCTCTGTCCAATTTTATAGAGTATATTAGCATTATGTTACTCTTTGTTCCTGTTGAAATTGACATAACTTTGCCTTTTTAGTATTTAACTTCGATTTGGATTTTTCACTTCTACTTTTAGTTTCACAATGAAGATGTCTAAGACTTTTTAAAGAAATATTTTCAGCTGAGCGATATTATTGTATCTGCATATCATTGTTGATAGTTAGGGTTAGGGTTTTTCAAGCTGTCATATTTTTCAGTCCTACCAAAATATATTTGTTGTGTATGTTAAATGGATAGGAGGACAATATACACTGAGACCTTTTCTAGTCTAAATCATTATTTCTCCAGGTTCAGTGCTTCCTGTATCTACTTGTTCACTGCTCCTCAGAAAACTCAGGTGTTCTGTATTAATATTTCCCACGCTCAAGCATGATTTACAAGTCAAAGGCATCAATCATCATATTAAGCTGAAAACACTATCAAACTTAGCTAGATTAGATGTGCAAATGAAGCTGCCCTGATTGTTGTATGAACACAGGATTTAAATTACTGGGATAAAGAGCACATCCTAGTGAGGTTTAGAGTTGGTAAGGGTTAGAATTGGGTTTAGATCCATGGCTACTTCAGCATTACCATCATTCCACTTTTCTTATCCAACTCATCGTCTAAATTCATCATCTTAGCCAAATGCATTAATATATGGGTACTGTTAAGCATGTAAACTTTGTGTGCTGTATGGGTCATACATAACTGTTATCGTTCAATGCAGCCTCTATTTTTTGACATATTAGACATTTTGACATTTTCGATATGTCCCAAATGATTGCAGAAGAAGGCTTCTTCATACCATATATATATTAAAAAATCTTTAAGAAAAGAATCAAGCCAGACTATTTCCTTTCAATGCGATGTGGTACTTGATTCTTTGGAGGTAGGTCCCATTTGATTGATGTCTGAAGAATTGCTTGTGTTTGGTTAAAGCAGATCTCTGCAATATTTTTTTTTATTTTGAGTTGTACCAGCTCCATATAGTAATTTTAAAACTGGTTTTGGTGGAGGAAAATTAAATCAAATTAAATACTATATTTTCCTCTGATGTTAATTGTTCAATAGTCAAACCGAATCATTAATTGTAATCTCCATTTTCTTACATTTCTGATGATTTTAAAATTGAATATAAAATAAGTATCTCAGGGGGAAAAATAATTCTCATACATATGCAGACAACTGCATATGACTCACTCACATCTCATATGCAGAGGGATGTGTGTGGTGGTGGGCATGTGGGCATGAACAAGTACTTCTAGGCAGGTGGCATATAGTTCCAGGCCACCAGCTGGACATCTACAATTTAATGAGAAGTCACATTTTCCACCATTCCCTTCTTCTTTCTCACAACCATTATCCCCATGGGTTTTTGATTATATACCTTCCCTCATAAGAGCTCTCAAATTTTTCTCAGCTTCAGGATTTTTAACACTGGTTAAATGCTGGTTCTGTCTGCCTTAACCATATTTATTTCAGTTCATACAGGTCCTGTTTTTCCTTCGTTCAGAGCAATGTTCAGATGAGAAGCATGCATTTCTTAAGCTCTGTTGTAGCTAAACTTCTGTTGCATTTTTATACTGTAATGTGTTTTATCGTATTAACTATTTTTAAGTTGCATACTTCTAAATATGAATCAAGAAAAGTTATTTTTCAACACACTCAGGCACATCTTTCAAGCTTCTTTGTGAAATTGTGGTGCTTAAATAGATAACTGAAGATGTGTTATTAACAGAGGTAAAAGGATGAGATGCTGACACTATCGTTAGCACATAATAGGAACTGTGATCAAAAATCATTTGTGTCACAAGTAGTTGCTTTCCTATTGGATGAAGAATTTACAGCTTCATTTAATATGTACACTCAGAAAGATAACAACTCCTTTCCTTTTTAAATTACTTCCTGCTAAATTAAGATGTGTTGGAGGATGTCTGGTGACACCTTTTCAAGAGAAACATGGCTGCTGCTATTTTTATGCATAATTTCATCTCAACTTCATACTCAGAGTAACATGGAAAAAGGACTTTCCTCACTCTAGGGTAAGGTTTATTTATTTATTTATTGTTTTTATTTGTCAAATAAATATAATCCAGGGAGATCTGTAGCTGGCTGACAAACCATACTTAACAAGTAGTCCTCAATGGCACTACATCCACATGGAGAGAAGTAAACAGTGGGGTACCACAAGGTTCCGCCTTAGGCCCAGTACTCTTCAATATCTTCATAAATGACTTAGATGAGGGAATTGAAGGGGAACTCATCAAATTTGCAGATGACACCAAACTGGCAGGAGTAGCCAACACCCCAGAAGACAAACTCAGGATCCAAAAAGATCTTGACAAACTTGAACAATGGGCCCTGTCCAACAAAATGAGTTTCAATGTGGAGAAAAGCAAAGTTTACATTTAGGCAGGAAAAATCAAAGGTACAAGTACAGACTGGGTGAGACCTGGTTTAAAAACAGTAACTGTGAAAGGAACCTTGGAGTGGACGATCACTTGACCATGAGCCAACAGTGTGCAGCTGCAGGCAAAAAAGCTAATACAATCCTGGGTTGTATAAACAAAGGCATAGAATCAAGATCACACAAAGTATTAGTACCACTTTATAAAACCCTAGTAAGACCACACCTGGAATACTGCAGCCAATGTTCGTCACCATATCACAAAAAAAGATGTTGAGAGTTTAGAAAAAATTCAGAGAAGACCAACTAAGATGATCAAAGCCCTGGAGACTAAAACATACGAAGAACGGCTGCAGGACTTGGGTCTGGCTAGTCTAAAGAAAAGAAGAAATAGGGGAGACATGATAGCAGTATTCCAGTATTTGAGGAGCTGCCACCAAGAAGAGGGGGTCACATTATTCACCAAAGCACCAGAGGGCAGGACAAGAAACAATGGTTGGAAACTGAACAAAGAGAGAAGCAACCTAGAATTAAGGAGAAACTTCCTGACAATGAGGACAATTAACCAATGGAACAGCTTGCCTCCAGAAATCGTGGGTGCTCCATCACTGGAGATTTTTAAGAAGAGGCTTGTCTGAGATGATATAGGTCCTCCTGCTTGAGCAGGGGGCTGGACTAGAAGACCTCCAAGGTCCCTTCCAGCTCTATTCTATTCTAAATTTAAGGAAAGTTGTTGAGAAGGCAGTCAATCTGCAATTTTGAAGATGAATGGAAAGTAAACAGTCTTAAACTCTTGGTATTGGGTTTCAGGCTGGAACATATGCTGAGACTGCACTGATTGTGTTTTTCAATAATCCTGCAATGAATTTAGGATGGAGAAGTGCATCACTTCTAGCAAAGAGAGCTCACTCTCAGCCAACTTAAACATAATATTTTCAATGAAGAGGGCTGGGGTGAAGAGACATGGTGCTGCCGCCTTTCTCTATTATTTCTTCCAGTTGATATTGGTGGTGGTGGTGGTGGTGGTGGTGTGTGTGTGTGTGTGTGTGTGTGTGTGTGTG